TATTTAGAAACCAATTTAGAACCTTTATCAATAAGAAGGGAACGCAAGAAATTAATATTATTCTACAAAATGCACAATAATCTAACTCCATCGTACCTTAATGACTTACTTCCTATACAAGTAGGGGAACAAACACAATATAGACTTAGAAACAGAAACAACTACACCACTCCTCTATACAGACTGTCGTTAACAAAATCATCCTTCATCCCATCAACTATACGACTGTGGAATGATTTGAGTGACACTATACGTGACAAACCAACAATTAATAGTTTTAAGTCATCCATAATTAATAGAAATAATTTGAACATACTGCCAGTCTACTTTGAATACGGAAATAGAAAACTTAATATGTTACATACAAGATTAAGACATGTCTGTAGTTCTTTAAGATATGATCTGTATAGGGTAAACATTATAGAAAGTCCGTCTTGTACGTGTGGAAGTCAACATGAAAATTCATTTCATTATTTTTTCGAGTGTAATCTATATGAAAGAGAAAGGCGACTGTTATTACTTACATTATCTGTATATGGTAATATAAACTTAGACTTACTATTAAATGGCAGTTCAGATTTATCGCTTGGGGAAAACATCCATGTATTCAAATCAGTACAGAAGTTTATTAAAGACAGTGGCAGGTTCTTATTTCTCTCTCTCTCTCTCTCTCGCTCTCTCCTTCGTTATTTTCGTTATCAATTTGTGTATATTCTATTGATGTTGCCATGTACACTGTCTAAAATATATCTGGGAGAAGGCTTCATAAGATGGAATAACTTGTGCCTAATCCATTTGCAAATTTCTGCAATAAAATATGTTTAAATCAAACTTGCCAAGGAATACCAAAACCTGGATTGTTAATAATGTTGTATTTGAGGGCAACAACTTAGAAAAGAAGAGATATAAATCGTAAGAAATCAATCGCAACAAGCCATAGGGTAGGTGGTTCTTGGGTTTATTTGGAAGGTCGACCGGTTTCGCCCTGAACTAGGGCTTCTTCAGGACAATTTTTTCACAAGATTTTTACCCCTAAAGTACTAAAAATGTGGGCCCATGTTCTATTATTGATGACGTCTATACAATAGTGACGTAATGTACAATGTTATCATGTGACCAGTAACGGTTGTCTAGAAGGTTACTATGTACACAATGCAAATGATAGTATCAATGTTCTTTCGCTGCTTAGTATTTGCTAAACATATATGCAAATTCGGGCCCACTTTTAAATTATTCAAAATATAAAGCATGTAACAATAATACAATAAAGTTAAAAATAAAAATAGAATTATAAAATTATGACAGATCAAAAGTTCTATAGTTCAAATGTTTGTTTCATCAAGGCACACCGTGGTGTCTGATGTAGATTTGTAGTTCAGAGTTTTGTAGTCTACAAATTCTCCCTCCGATTGGTTAGGGGATGAAGCCGTACTGCAGGTGTCACTATCCGACAATTGAAGGTCTGCTTTGAGCATTTCCATAGCAGTCTCTACAATAGGTCTGTATTTCATGTGAGCCGGTCCCACGGTACCTCTTCCGTCGGCCGGTCTTACTCTAAATTTCACCTGATCTAATAGTGATTTTGATAATGCTTCAAATGGACGTTTGTCCCCTGATATTTTCGCATCCAATTTAGTGGTGTCCTTTGTTACCTCTGGCTCGATCCCGTATCCTGGGTGTTGTTGTCTCTGATGCCTTGTGTAGCTTTCCATTCTGCCGTATGATTTTTTGCATAACTTGCATTTATACCACGTTATTACGGGTCCGTGTTTGATACTGGCGTGCCTCCGTAGAGCTTTTAGCGATGCATAACTATTTCCGCATCTAATACACGGAATGCGTATTTTAGTCCGAATAATTGTTTTCTTGGCCGGTAGATGATTCTTCTTAACTGGAGTTAGTTTGGTGTTTGCCATTTATGTGATGATGTTTAATCCTTCGGTCTGTGCGGTTCTCAATATTCTAATCCAACTCTCTTCCGTGCGGAGTCGATGGTTTATACTTTCGACGTTAGCTAACAGTCCCGTAACTGTGACGTCAAGGACATTGTGGTCGGGCGACGTGAAATGTCCCGCCACGGGTTTATCCGGGTGTTTGTGAATAATGCTGTAAAGGTGATTTCGGATGCGTGTGTTGATGGTGGTGGATGTTTGTCCGATATATTGTATCCCACATTTTTTACATGTAATCAAATAAACTGCGTTTATACTTTGACAAGTTATGTGTCCCTTGACTTTGTATGACTTTTTTGTAATGTGACTAGTGAATTTAGTGGTTTTTTCCATGTATATGCATACGCGGCAGTTTTTCCCACACGGTTCACTGCCCGAGTAAGTCGTGACGCGATTGATGTCACTTCTAACTAATATGTTTCTAATCGATCTGGGTTTGGTACATGCTATTAGCATTTTATAATCTAGAAGAGCTCT